CCCCCTTCCCCCCCCCCCCCCCCCCCCCCCCCCCAACTCTTCCTCCCCCTTCCCGAAGTGTGTCCTGGATCCCCCGATGGGTCCCGAGACATATTTAAAAGCTCGGGCCATTACACTACAGGCAATGGCTAGTAGTGTAGTACGCCACGATTCAAATGATCCGAAGAAAAAAGAGAAGACGAGAAGTTCGATTCCCCCTACTAGCCCAGAGCATTGTCAAAAACGGGTTTCGTTCATGGTGATATCTGTGCCAACTGTCGCCCCAAAATAAATATATTTTAGATGCGAATTTGGGTGCAGTCGATTCTGGCAAGGATTGGTCAGCCAACTTTACGAAAATGCTTGGCTACGATGATGCAACATTCACCGAATTGATGCGTCTCTACCTCACAATCCACTGCGATCATGAGGGTGGAAATGTCTCGGCCCACACCTCGCATCTCGTTGGCTCGGCTCTCTCCGACCCTTATCTCGCTTTCTCGGCAGCAATGGCTGGGCTAGCTGGACCGCTGCATGGTCTAGCGAATCAAGAGGTTGCCCCTTTTTCACTGTTTTTATCCACTTCATTGATTGGAATATCTGATGAATACGAAATGATTTTGCGAATTCCGGCCATCCATGAATTGACCAAGAATTCGTGTTGTTTTGTGCCACATGAGCAGTCCTACTATCTTTTCCATTGCACCATAACTTCACCCTATTAAGTGAACACCATCCTAGGTTTATATCTTCGGACTTTGGCCGAATTTTATTTGCTTTGAATCGTCCACTTGTTTTTGAGACCACGATTCGGCCTTTCTACGGCCAGAAATTATTATTCACTTTGGTAAACTAACCCTACCGTAGGTTTAAATATCGGACTTTGGCCGCTCCACATTTTTTTATGAGTTTTGCACTGCTTAATAGCAGTACAAAATGCATATTGTCACGGGGTTGTCTGTGTGTATGTGTGTGTATGCTCGTGTGTGTGTGTGTGTGTGTCCCTGCAGCAAATTGTTTTCTTTGGAATGTCTGCTTGCTTTTAAGGTAACGATTCGGCCTTCTAACGTCCGCAAATTATCTCAGACTTATTCAGAAAAGTTAAAAAACTGTTCGAGCTGTAGGCGCCATGCTAATAGCTCTGTCAAGTGAAAAGCGTATAAGAAATGATAAATTCGGCGCTCTTTTTGGTTTCAGTGGACGAATCCGGGACTTTTGATAATTTTAGTGGTAATATAGTACATGTTTTGTTCAGAAGGCAATTTGGGAATTATTTTTTTAGTGCTGCTTTTGTTTTTCAAATATTATTGATTGCAGGTGCTGGTATTCCTGACAAAATGCCGCAAAGAGCTCGGAGATGACTACACGGAGCAGAAACTCTCGGACTGGATCTGGAACCATCTCAAAAGTGGACAGGTTTAAAATTTGATCATTTTAGCGATTGGGATACAAAATTATGAAAAGCACAGAGTTGACGAGAGAAGTTTTCGCATTTTTTAGAATTTTAGAAATACAGGACTCTTAATTTTTATGGCATTTCGAGCGATTGCTTTCTTGTCGTTATACTGTTTTCCCTTCATTGTGCTTTTTTTCGTAACGAGTGTAACTGGCAACTTTTCCATTTTCGGTTTCATTTTCATTCGCTGTATGACTTGTAATTCCTGCGCCTGCGTTCTGAAATTCAAATTAATGTTGAAATTTTTCAAGAAATGCAACAGACACCCTTGACTTGCTGCTTTGCGGAAATTTCCGGAATTTCTCGGAGAAGAAAACATCGCTTAGCATAGTTATTTTCTTCAATGTAAATCCATCTCACTGCGATGTTTTTTTTTTTTTTTTTTTTCAGGTTGTGCCTGGATACGGACATGCGGTACTGCGCAAAACGGATCCACGCTACACTTGCCAGCGTGAATTTGCCCAGAAACATCTCCCGGATGATCCGATGTTCAAGCTTGTCTCGGCGATTTTCAAAGTTACACCGGATATTCTGCTCAAACAGGGCAAGGTTAGCTAACTTTGTAGCATATTCGTTTTTTTTTAAATTGCTTAAATACTTGGATCATCACAACGTTGTTCTTCAGTTTTGCATCTGGCAGCTTCCTCGACTGCCTTTTTCTAGTGCTGCATTACCTGTTGGTTAGGTTGCTGGCGATTTCTGTTCGTTTCATACCCCAGAGGAATGTCACGAATAGAGCCCTTCCTCAAAAATTTCCCTGGACCATGGGGGAACCGAACCACTCTCCTTCACGTCCAGACGCAATGTGTTACCACTACGCCACATGTCCTTGTTCTCCGGGTTCAACCTGGCAGCACATTCACTGTGTATCTGCCTTTCAAGGCAAGATTGCCCATTTCTTTTATTCCCTTTTTTCGTTGTGACGACTTCTTGTTCGACTTAGGGAGTGCCTACCCAACTGTACTTCATGCAGTAGCAAGTGGCAAGATTTTAGCTGTTTTAGGATGTCCTTTTTATATATTCAGCACCACGATTTTACTCCGAATGTTGTTGCTCCTAGACCACAATGAGATACCATGCTGATCAGAAGTTCTTAAACCAAAAAATTGGAAAATCTTCCGATTTTGAAGTTACAGTAACATGCTTCACCAAGTGTTTTACATGTCGCTCATACACGAAGTCATCGTGACGGGAAATGTTTTACAAATATTGCAAAATTCTAGTATTTGTGACTGTGTTTTTGTCACTTTCACATTTTTCAGGCCAAGAATCCGTGGCCAAATGTGGATGCACATTCTGGTGTACTTTTGCAATATTATGGCCTAACCGAAATGTCATTCTACACCGTGCTTTTTGGTGTTTCACGTGCAATCGGTTGCCTTTCGCAGCTGATCTGGTCTCGTGCTATGGGTCTTCCGATCGAGCGACCAAAATCGCATTCCACCTCTGATCTGGCAAAGCTGGCTGCGCGTGCGGGACAATGAAGAGAAGCCGTCTGAAGGAGCCTCACCGTGTGAGGAACGGTCGGGCACTGTTTTCGAGTCTCATAACGAATTTGGCGCAATTATTAGTGCAATTGGTGTTGCCCTCATTTCAGTCATCGTTTTTTTTTTTCTGGCTCTTTTCCAATTTTAGGTTTCCAATTTTCTTATACGTTTTTCCAATTTTCTTCTTTTTTTTTGCGTAATGTAACCAGACACTTTATAATTCACGAAGAGTCTCGAATGTTTTCTTCATTTCTCTTTTCATCAACTCAAGGATTATGATTATTTTATCGCATCTTTTATCAGTTATTATTCTTTCGTCGAACAATTTTACCGCACCTTTTATCGCTTTTTCATTTATCAAAGGATCTTATCACATCTTTTACGAACTTGCTCTTTTCAGCCAAACATTGAACATCTATCTGTACTGAACTATTGCTAAATGGATTTGATTTTTCGGCATCTTATTCTGTTTCAGATCTAAAAGTCTTTAATTCCGATTTAGCTTTTTTATGGAATTTGCATTCCTGCAGCCGAAATTCGAAGAAAAGTTTGTTTTCCTTGGCTGTAAAAGATGTTCTGGTTTGAAGTTCCAAAAAAATTCGTGCAGCGTTCTCCCGTATTGATAACTATTAGAGCTTTTCGTTTTTTCCCGTACTGGGATCAGAATTGTCTTATGTCTAATTTTCCCACAGTTATGACAGTTTTTCTGGAGGTTTTCATGGTTTCGTCATCCATGTTGTCTTAGGTTCTTTTATGTTCAGAAACGAACAAAAGTGGATAAAATTTTCCTTGAAAAAATTACAATTTCTGAGGATCTTATCATTTTATTCGCAGAATGTTTTATTAAATAGAGATTTTATGTAGTTTTTTCACTCCTTGTTGGCAAAAATTCCTTATTTATTATTTAGATATTTAAAAAAGACGAAATGGATTGGTCTGAGCAGAGGGATTTGCCATTTCATGTATAAGTTAGAGGTTTTCTGGATAAGCGGAGCTCTGGCAAAGAATTTTTTGAATGAGAATGGGTAGTGGCTTTTTTGTGGGGATAAAGATTAGCCGGACTTTGACAAAGAATCTTCCAGAGAGCACTAGATAGCAGTTTTTTGAATAAAGATAGGGATCAGAAGGATTTTGATAGGAAATCTTGATAGATTTGGATATAATTTCGAAAAAAAAAAGAACGATTTTTTGCTCGAATTTTTGCCAACAGTATTTCACGAAACATTCTCTCTAGCTACCTTGGATTTTTTTTCGCTTCTTCGTTCCTACTTTTTTTTTTTTTGTTCATCAGAAGAAGGTTGTCTGTTTCTCCCTTTTTTTTCTTCCTCATTCTCTGGCATCATTTAGCTTTATGGTATACTTTCCGTTTATTTACTGCATGCTGTTGTGTTTTCTTTTTTTTTTTATTTGTTACATATAGCCGCTGTTTTGTGCAGGCTTCATTATCTGTTTTACACTAGCTCTGTTTTATCGTTTCTGCATAAATAAAGTTATCTTTTGGTTGATAGTACATTTCAGGCCCGATCTGGCTACTACGATCTAATCACATCAATCGAAATCATCTGCAGTAAAAAAAAAATTTACAGCTAAGGGATGAAACACACACTGCTCTCCAATATATGTCTACAATAATGCATGATATGTAGATTGGTCCCTTATCTCAGATCCTAATATTTCCGTCCGTAGGAGATTAGAGGGTTTGCGTACACGTATTTCCACGTAAAACCCTATTCTGTTCGGTGAATAAAAATCATTAATTTATTACCATCTTATCATAAAATCGTATCATAACATAGAAAAAAAAGATCTTTGCCAGTGATTACCTGGTACCGTAAGTCCTTATCGGATTTGGCGTATTTTATCCGTATTTTTTAAGTTTTCGTGCTCTAGACGTCAATTATCGATCAGGCACACGTGGGATTTACACGCCAAAACGTGTTTTTTGCTTATACAAAAACATTCGAGAATAATACACAGGAAATAGGCTTGGCTGGGGAAAAGGGGCTATCCGATGACATTCGATCAAAGTGCCGCAAAGACCGAAGTAATCGCGGATGGGTGTTTCCGGAATTTTATGATACATATCCAACTGTTTTGATGTCTGATTTTTAGTTTTGCAAATTACAGTTTCCAGGGATTTTCCTTTTTCTTCCGTTTCACCTTAATCCTCTCCCTCCCATACTCTTCCCCTCCGCATCTTTTGCGATTTCAAACACTTGCGTTCCAGTCCCTGCCCTCCGCTCACTTGGCCTGCCCTCACCGCCCTCACCCCTCCCCCCTCCTCCCTCCCCCCACCCTATATGATTGAGTTAATCCCTTTTTCACCCAAATTTTTAATCCTTTCCATCTTGCCATATCCGATGCGGAATGGATGATGATGGACTTTGCATTAGAAGAAGGATCCCCTGTAAAAATAGCAGTGAGACTATAGCCTTGATGAGGTATAATATCGGCGATATTCGGTATCATGAGGTCGTGGTGATGGTTGTCTGTGATAGAAATGATCGCTTCGTTTCTCCTCGTATACATATGTATCAACGCGCTCCCGCGGACTGGTTGATCCGGATGGAATAGAATCTATAATTGAATTTTTTTTGAGGTCAGTTCTAGGATTCAGTCTTTCCCTTAAATAAAAAAAAAAGACGAGAATGTCGAAGGAAATCTCAAATCAAAAACTAGAATTGAAGCTGGTGAGGAAAAAAATGAAAACCTGAATTAAGATTTGAGAGACATAAACGAAATTTATGCGTAAAATCGAGGATTCGATTGAAACAGTGGAAAACCAACCTCTCTACGACTCATTCATTTGTTTCGGTGGTAAAATGGTATATGCCACAACTGAGAATCAAAAACCCGTCATAAGCATGCTTAGAAGCAATTCACGAAAGAGAGAGCTGTCGACAGCTTTGTCAGTGAGCGGATGCTATTGGCACTTGTTATCCTCCGAATATTTCTGAGTACTTCACTCTTTCAAAAGGTTGGAATACATTGAGGGAGTTCTTGATTTTCGATCGTTTTGAAACTGATAAAAAAAAAATCGAACCTGAAAACTAACTTTGCGGTAAAATTGTTGCCATCTGTGGTTGTTGCTGTGGCATGATCGGTTGTTGAGGCGCGTATGAATTATTACTGATCGGGGAACTGCTGCTACTGGGCTTGTTATCAGCTCGACTACGTAAGCCGAACCATCCGGCAAACCAAATTCCAAGCGCACATATACATGGTACCAAACAGCACAGGGTCACTGCAACCACAGCAAGAATAATGAGAAGTATTCGTGTCCAGTGACTGAAAATTAAGGATTTTATCAGTACCAGTACAAAACCTTAAAGCTGAATGCCGATCCCCGAATAGTTTGACAACTTATTTCTTTTACTTTTTTTTTCACATCTATGCAATGCAGAAAACGCACTCTGTAGAGGAACATCGTGTGTGTATTCAGCCTTGCGGTCACATTTATTCACATCCAAAATTTCATTATTTTATGATAATGCATAAAAACCAATCTAAACAGTCAAAATATAACTAAATTTTGATCAGCTACAGTTCATTACGCCATCCAGTAAGCTCTATGCAGCTGGTAATTTTTTCTGTTGTTTTGACCAATGCTGTATAGCGTGGTGGTTATCCTAATGGCTACTATCCTGACGTTCGTTTCATCTCGCTGTAGGGATTACCAGCTGAACAGCTTTTTGGAGAAGGGCGTTTTATCAGGGTTTTAACGGTTTCCAGATGTCACTGGATTGTTTGTTGGGTTCCAGGAAGCAATTGGCAGATCCAGAGGGAAGGGAACGGTGTATCTTTCGTCCCTAGCGGCACAGGTAGCAGTGATAAAAATGAAGAAAACTCTCTTCGGTATCCCTCGTTGCCCTCTTCCCTCCTTCCCCTCTTCCCAGGAGCTCCAATTTCTTTCCCTCCCTTCCACCATCCAACCCCCCCCCCCTCTGTCCAGAAAACCGCCCTGTAT